AAAAAAAAAAAAAAGAATTTACATAGTAGATGGACAAAATAAAAAGAAGAACTACCTTTTTTTTACATTCTAAAAGAAAACAGGGTAGAAATAACATGACTTATATTATAGAATTTCAAAGTAGACAATAATAAGATAGCCTAACATATGGATGTTCCTGGATGGTGACATGTCCACGGTAGGCATGAAAGCTCTGCACCCCTTCCCTCATATCTCTCTCGCCCTATGCACTTTTTCATATGTGCCCTTTGTAACATAGTTTATAACAAACCTTAAGCTAATACAAATCAGGGGAAAAGTATGAAATAATCCTAATGGAATGATGCCTGATTCATGAATTCTTAATAAAAGTCAACTAGTGCCCAGCCCACACACTGCTGCCACTGCCAGAACCCAAGCACACCACTTGAAAGCCAGGGGTCAATGAACCCAGACATGCCACCACTGGCAGCTGCTTGTACTGCCCAGGGGCCTGAGGACTAATAAACCTGGGCTGCCACTAACAGCACTGGTGCCCAAAGACCAGCCCATCTGGTGTTCCGTTACCAGCAAAGTTTCCACTAACAACCACAGTCTAAATCACTGAGGAACCCACAGACGTCACTGACATTGATCACAACTAAAGAAATAATACAAAGACTACACTACTGTTCCCATCCAGAATCAAGGCCAAAGCACCCTACTCACATCCTTTTCAATAAATAATCCTGGGAAAATTGGATTGCCATATGCAAAAGAATAAAACCGGACCCCATTTATCACCACACATAAAAATTAACTCAAGATGGATTAAAGACTTGAATGTAAAACCTGAAACTATAAAAATACTAGAAAACAACCTGGGGAAAACTCTTTTGGACATTGGTCCAGGCAAAGAATTCATGACTAAGATCTCAAAGGCACAAGCAACAAAAACAAAAATAGACAAACGGGACTTAATTAAACTAAAAAGCTTCTGCACAGCAAAAGAAATAATCAACAGAGTAAACAATGTGTAGAATGGAAGAAAATATTGGCAAACTATATATCCAACAAGGGACTATTATGCAGAATTTACAAAGAACTCAACTCAACAACAACAACAAGAAACAAATAATCCCATTAAAAAGTGGGCTAAGGACATGAACAGACATTTTTCAAAAGAAGACAAACAAATGGGCAACAAATACATGAAAAAAAGTTCAACATTACTTATCACCAGAGAAATGCAAATTAAAACCACAATGAGATGGCATCTTACACCAATCAGAATGGCCATTATTAAAGACAAAAAATAACAGATGTTGGCAAGAATGCGGAGAAAAGGGAACTCTTCTGTACTAGTGGGAATGTAAAGTAGTGCAACCTCTATGGAAAACAGTATGGAGATTTCTCAAGGAACTAAAAATAGAACTACCATATGATCTAGCAATCCCACTCTTGGCTACCTACCCAAAGGAAAAGAAATAAATATATAAAAGATACCTGTACTTGTATGTTTATCGTAGCACTATTCACATTAGCAAAGATATGTAATCAACCTAACTGTCCATCAACAGAGGACTGGATAATGAAGTATATATACATAATAGAATACTATTCAGCCATAAAAAAGAAAGACAGAATGTCTTTTGCAGCACCAGAGATGGAACTAGAGGCCACTATCTTAAGCAAAACAACTCAGACACAGAAAGACAAATACTGCATGTTCTCACTTATAAGTGGGAGCTAAATAATGTGTACACATGGAAGCAGAGTGGGGAATGATACACAGTGGAGATTCAGAGAGTTGGGGGGGACAAGAGGAGGGTGGATAATGGAAGGTTTCTTGGTGGGTACAATGTATGTTGCTCCAGTGATGGATACACTGCAGGATCTGACTTTACCACAG